CATAGATAGATATGATCCTAGTGTATGAATATATATGTATGTATATATATAGCAATGTATCTTGTTTTTATTGTTTATTTAAAGAAACTAGACCGTATAATTATAGGATTATCAAGTCTAAAAGTGACAGGACAGGTCAGCAGGCTAGAAACTTTAGATGGAGTTAGTTGATGGTCCAGTCCTGAGACAGAATTTCTTCTCTGGGAAACAGCAGGAGTTGCTCTTGAGGCCTTTAGTTGGCTGGATGAGAGTCACCATCACCTTCATTATCAGGGTCATCTACTTTCCTCAAAGATTGTAGGCATTAACCATAAAATCTTTAAAGACTTCATCAAAGATTGTAGGTATTCAGACTTTTCCCCATAGATCTTAAAATCTTTCCCCAAAGACTGTGGGCATTAACAACATCTACAGAATGCCTTCACAACAACTGCTAGATTTGTATTTGATGAAACACCTAGGTACCATAGCCCAGCCAAGGTGACACATAAAACTAACACTATACTTTCTAATCTGCTCCTATGGCACCTAAACTTTCTTCAGGAAATACTGTTGCTTCTCTGTGTCTAGAGAGGATTTCGTGCTTATAAGGAGGAGGTTGGGCAGGAAAAATTCACACTTTAATGGCTTCAGTAAGGAACTGGCCTCTATTTAAACTTAAATCAGACACAGTATTTCTTCCTCCAAGAGTTAAACATTAACCCTACTGGTGTTTCAGCAACACTGTGATTTCTGTCTGTTTTGGTTTGGAAGTGTGGCCAAATGCATGCCTTGGCTAAAACTTCCCCTCCACCTCTGCAGGTGACATCTTATGCTATGAATACTGAACATATACTATGCAGGTTCAGTCTAATCTAGCTACCACAAAAAAAAAAAAAAAAAAAAACAAAAGGCAGGTGACACAATTAAAAAATACTATGATGTTTTTAGCAGTGCATATCAGGAAAAGGAGGAAGAATATTACTTATACTAAATTATCAATTCTCTTGCCACATGTCACATACAACTAAAGCTTTTGCATTATTCAAACTCAATCAATCATAACTCATGGTGCCAAACACTGGCTGAGTCAGGCCTTCGGGTACTGACTGGACTGTCCCCCTAAAGGCTTCCTTCCCTTCAACACCCCAAATCAAGGAACATTAACTAGGCTTCCAAGATAATTGGGTGATTTGAGTTCACACCTCAAAAATTACATCTTTTTCAAGTAGCGCTATAAAACATCTTCAGACGAGTAATTAAAGACTAAAGAATAACACACTGGAGGCCAGAAGAAAAAAAAAACCAATGAAAGTGCTTCAAGTCTGGCTTTGTGACTCTTGAGTATGTTCAACTCACTTGAAGTTCTCGGAGGGAGAGATGGTGCCTTTTACCTGTTCATTAGCATGGTACTAGGCACTCAGGGGACGAAAGAAACAAGCCTGACTGAACAAGAGAGCCCATATTCTTCATTGAAACCAAGATCCAGACAAGGCAAAATTAAATTGCATACTCCATCTAAAAAACCTGATGCAAGCTGCCAGTGCTCTTGTCATGTTTCTGCTGCTTCAAAGCACACACTATTGTTTTATTCAGAGCATCAATCCTGCTCACCCCAGTAACAAACACAGACTTCCCTTAGGTTCTTGAGAGAACCACAAAGGAATAACGAAGCCCCTTCTCCTGCCCTAAGGTTTGGCCATCCTGCAACCAGAACATAATGAACCCTCGTTACACTGAATTCAGGATGTACCCAGCAGCTTCTCTGAGTTCAAAGTACATAATCTCATTAGTTATCGGTCACCATGTCTAATCCGATGTTCAGACCCACGTCTGCTGTACAATTGAGTTCAATGAGTACATTTAACAATAAAGCAGGAATAGGCCCTACAGAGAAGTGTGGTACCCTTAAAGTATCAATTAGCTAACTTGGGGACAGAAGGAAGAGAGCACAGACTCATGTATTTCTAATTATATATTAGCACAGCAGTTCCAACTCATTCCAGGCCACAAAGATGTCAGTTAATCCAAGAATCCACACAACAGGCTTCAGGTCCTCCTGTTCATCATGAAGCATTATCTACTGAGACCTCTGCACACTAGTCATGGTAAAAGATCAGTGGAAAACCAACACCAATGACAAATTCATTTCCTACAATCATGTTGCTCCTAATCAAGATGACTCCAATAAAATTAGACCAACCTACTTCATCTGGAAACATATTTGACATTATCCTAAATTATAAGCAGTATATCTTTATTTATTCAGCCTAGAAATGTATTTATAATTTGATTTCACTCCATCCTATCCCTTACATTGCCGTGCTGCTCCTTACATGCAGTCTAGTCTCCACTACCGTGATGTTCCCCAAAATCAGTACTTTAAGATTGTTTTAAGACAGAACAAAGAGAAACTTGCAATCAGTGTTATATTACTTCTTTCAACAGTGCAGAGTCTTGAGGCTCAGGAAGGAAAAGTAAAGGAGAGAATAGGCCAGTGGCAGAACTTAGCTTCAGTACTGAGCTTTCTGGATCTGAGGGCTGTGCTCAGCCACTGCACCCAAATTCATGTTGCTAAGGGTTTGGATAATGTTTGATAGTGCCACTAAGGAACTTGGTCCTCAGTATGGCAATGTAAGAGATGGTAAAATCTCCAAGAAATGAACCTGTTACAAAATCATTGGGTTATTGGGGCACTATACTCAGCAGGAATGGATGCGGGACTCAAAAGAGCATCACTATAAAAGAAGCAAAGTCCCCCAGCTCCTTTGGCTTCCTTCTTGTCTCATAATGTGATCTCTCCTTCTCATGGGCACTACTGTCACCAACCATGGGGTCCTCCCAAGAGCCAAGATGGCTACCTCATTTATAAAGTACCCAGTTAGCCAGGAACCAGTGGCTCACACCTGTAATCCTAGCTACTCAGGAAGCCATGGTTCAAAGCCAGCATGGCAGGAAAAGTCCATCAGACTCTTAACTCCAATTAGCCACCAGAAAACCGGAAGTGACATTGTGGCTTAAGTGGTAGCTGAAGAGCTCAGGGTCAGCATCCAGGCCCAGAATTCAAGCCCCACAACTAACAAGATAGATAAATTAGATAGATAGATAGATAGATAGATAGATAGATAGATAGATAGATAGATAGATAGATAGATAGAGTACCCAGTCTTAGATGTGTTATTGTAGCAGTGGAAAACAGGCTAATATAAAAGTTCTCAATCAAATCACCTGTATGTGAGAAAAGCAGTGGTTTAAATAATACATCTTACATGGCTAGCAAGTTCTGTGGTCTCCAGTATGCTATCTAATGGTGTGGAGCCTCAGCCTCAATTTTATCCTCTGTTGCAAAGGGGAGATCATGCCTACCTAAGAGGTGATTGCTGGAAGGAGGGACATGTCTAACACATATTTGGTACTAATGCTTTTGCTAATGCTTATGCTGGCCTAAGATCAGAAGAGAGAAAATAATCACTTGGACTTTTTACAATAGCAACCTTAAATCAGATAATCCAATACCCCATCGTGCCCTGAGATGAAGTGTTGTTTGAGTGAGTATGTATGTATGCAGTTAGTTTGGTTTGGTCAAACACCTTCACAGGAAGCTGTGAAGGCTCAAAGTGACGACACTGGGAAGGAAAGGGCAGTGAGAGCAGAACGCATTCTATGTTTCCCAAAAACAGATGGTGACTATAAGTGTCCTGGGTGCTTGAGGAAACTAGGTGCTGTCCTACCACATTTCCAGTGACTGCAGCACTTGTTTAATCAAGGAAGCCATTTGAGTGGAAGTAAGGACCTAAATCCAACTTAAAAGATATATTATTTAGGCATCCCGCAAGTGCCATGGTTGCCATGTCATTCTATGTTCTGTTGAGGGTTCTGGAAATGACTAGAACTTAAGGCAGTTTACATAAGCCGTAACAATTCTCCCTTTTTCAGGTATAACCACACAATACACACTCCAAGGAAGAAGATGGGGGGTGGGGACGACACTGGGAATATTCTTTTACAAATGAGGCAGCTAAGGCCCACAGTGAACAGACAGCCTATCTACAAACCACAGGATTATTCAGAATTGAATGGAATGATGGTTGGACAATACATATCTTCCAACCCACAGCTCCAAGCCAGGCTCACTGAGCACCAAAGACGCTAATCACAATCATCTCAATCCACAGCACCCCAGTACTCAGGAAACCAGTGCTAAAGAACCCATGGCTGAAACGTTCTGGAAACTAGCCCTAAGAGATGAGGCCTGGACACCAGGATTAAGAAAACAAGACTGAAGGTCAGCCTTGGGCAACAGGAGGAGGAAGGTGAAAACGTAAACGGCAAGACATGAAAGGAAGGTAAGACGCAACCCCCTTCCCCCCCCTCCCCCGCAGCTCTACCCCTCCCCCCACCTCCATATACGAATGCTCCCTTAGGATTACTCAGTGGTTCTGGGGCCCATCCATGAGTGCTTACAGAGGCTTTGGTGGTCTCACTTGGGCGTTTTGGAAGGAGAAATGGTGATGGCCATCTACTTCTTTCCCCACATACAATCTGTACCTCTTGCCTCAGAGTGGAGATGGATTCCTTTCCTTCTCTTTTCTATTTATGCCTCTACTTACCATTGTCCAGTTATTTGACAAGAACTTTGTAAAGGATTCCAAGTAGTGAAGTAAAAGGTGGCTACCAATCTTGAGATTTATATACTTGGAGTCAGATGAACGCAAAAGTTAACTTCCACGAAGAACAAAAGTAACACCCCACAGTTCCTAACAGATGTATCTACACCTCTGGATGTTTTGTTGACTTTATTAAATATCCCCACATTTGCCTGGCATATTCCTGACCCTTATTTAAAAACACGATTATCTTCTGGCCTCAATGAGCAACACTTCAAGTTGACAATCACCTGCAAGATGTAGTATATGACTACGAGCCTCCCACTTTACTGTTCTCTGACATTTGTCCCACACAACTCATGATTAGGACCTAAAAACCAGCTTAGCACGCACATCCTGAGAGGCCATACCCACCTCTGTCCGAACATCAGTGTGGACTTGGTTTCAGCCTCATTGAAGACAGAAGGAGAACAGCAAATGACGATGGTGGTTCTACAATTCCCACCTAGGGAGTCTTGGAGAATCCGAGTCATCTTGCTGTCCCGGTATGGCACATGGGTTTTCTAGTTTGGTGAAGAACAAGTTAGAGGGTTAGCAAACGGGCAGGTCAGGAATGGAGGCACTGAGCTTAGATAGTAGCAAATTTATAACCAGTAGTTAGGTCTTTGGATTTTTCCAGAGTTTAGAATGCCCACTCTGAGATCTGGATCACTGGAAATCAGCATGACTGTTCTAATAAACTGGATCACCCAGCAATAGGCGTCCACAGTCAGAATTTCCTCTGTCTTCCTCCAAACAGGAAAACAAATGAATCTCTGATGTGTGTGACAGAAAAAATGCAAACCCCAAAGGCAGTTTCTCAAAATGTTATTTAATAGAAGGGGCCAGGATCACTTACTGTCCCTTCTGCCAAGGCAGAGATCACATTTCCGAGAGCGGACAAAGACTTATTGATATTTTTAGCTTCATCAAGAACAGCTCCCTCAGCACCAGTCTTGCTGACCTGCAGGAGAGAAGAAAAAATTGTTTCAGAGGATGGCACCATGAGAGCAAAGGGGAAATCCTCCTGGAAAGCAGGAAAAACAAAAGTAAGCATCTCATTGATCAAATGGTCTCTGGAGCTGGGGGCTGGGGATTTGGTCTCTCCAGCTGTCATTTTCCTCTCGATTAGGTTTTAGTGGAATGGCTGCATCAAGTGGGAGAGCTGTGGATGTTTCCCTGGGGGACATCCCATCCATCCAGGGAAACCAGGCTCTGGAAACACTTGTCACCAGAGGTAAACTGGGTCCTGAGAAAAGTCAGCCACTGCCTCCTGTCAGAGAAGTCAGGGAGACACATTAGAAGAAAATGCTATCTCACACCCCCATGAATGGGCTGAGGGAAGAAATGTAAATTCAGAGCTCCAAATTCAGGCAAAGGAGCACAGGTGCTGGGGATGGCTATGCAGACTATTCCTTGCCTGCCTACTCTGTTAAAAAGAGGGGAAAAACAAAACCCATAAAATCTGGGAGAGGTAGAAGATCAAAACACCATGTTTTACATTATAAAATTGTCTTTCCTTCTGCAGGCAGAAGGGCCATGCAAAGTGCCTCCTCTGCTGTGTTATTACTGGTAATTTCATATTTATAGCATTTGCTCTGGGTAGAAAGGCAGTGGGCAAGAGGAGTGGAAGAGCCAGAGGGACTAAATACAATTTATGTCTCTGCTTCCTGGACAAGTGCAGTAGCGTGAGCTGCTGCTCTCTAAAGAATAGGGAGAGAAGGAATAATCTCAAACTATACAAAGATAATTTCAATTACACATAAGAGAATCCATACAGGGGGGCGTGTCTAGGCAGAGGTTTCTTCAAATAGGACTGATCTTGTCTCTTGGAATTACATGTGCAGACACCCTGCTTACAGACAGGGGCATTAGGTATATGATGGGTCACAAATCATAACGGTCTATTCACACTGTGTTTTTAAAGATGCTTTCAAATTTCAGTATCCTAAGTCCATGAAATATACAAGGCAGGGACTATCTTCACTTTCCTTTTTCACACACAAGGAAGTGAGCTCCAAAGGTGTCATGCTGACACCATGGAAGAAGCCATTCAGAACAGATGGGAACCAAAGCCCAGAGTTCTGTTCTGCTAGGTCACACTGATACATTTACGTGGATACATGTGAACAAAAGAGCCACAAGAAAAACACACTTTAAAAACGCTTCTCAGGGCCATTAGCAACAAGCCCTTAACACTGTACAAACAAGTCTTCGCTCTGGGGGCTGGGAATGTGGCCTAGTGGTAAATTGCTTGCCTACTATGCATGAAGCTCAAGTGGTGGAGTGCTTGCCTTGAGCTGAAGAGCTCAGGGACAGCACCCAGGCCCAGAGTTCAAGCCCCACGACCGGCAAAAAAATAAAATAAATAAATAAATAAATAAATAAGTCTTTCACTCTGATCTCTGGCCAACAGGCAATTCTTGGGTACATTCCAGCCCTAAATACTCATCTCTATGCAAGGCATTTTATGTAGACCCTTACAGGCCACCACAGTCAAATTAATGGTCAGTCTGGAACTAAACAGTGCTGCTCTACAACATCCAGCCTCGTGTCTATTTAAACTAAACTAACCAACACACATGGTTCTTAACCAGGCACAACTGATGTGTTCTGCTCACTGCAAATACAAATAAGAGGACAATTCAAGTAACCATTACTTACATAGCTATTAGTGGCCATAACTTCAAATATGGTGCAGTGCTGTGAGTGGGGTTCAACTGCACAGTTAGAGACTAACATCCCCAAGCCTTGTCCTGATAGGGACAGCCAGCTGATGTCAGTGATGATGTCAGGAAAGGGCATTGTGCACTGGGGCTGGCTCTGTGATGTTGCCCATGCCCAGCCATGCTGGGGCAGCAGAAGCCAGCAGTGATGATTTGGAGGGGGACTGCTAAGGGGCCACTGGAGATACCTGGAAGCCCATTTGGTGTGCAGTGTGGCGCACCCAGGTCAGTGTCTGGGAGGCACAGGACAGAGGGTAGATGACAAAGGAGGGCCCTAACAAAATTAGAGAATAGTCAAAGCACATGGTTAAAAGACTGACCACCAGACCTCTCTGTACAGCATCTTTACAAGAAAATTAAATTAAAAATAAAAAAGACTAACCACAGGCCTGGAGGAACCAAGCCTACCAGCATGAAACACTTTCTTGAAACACACTATTAGAGAGAAGCAGGGAATACAGGGAGAATCCCTGACCTCCATATCTTCCACCAGCAAGATCAACTTGCAGAGGTAGCCTGCCATGTTCCAACAGCAAAGTCTTTCTTGACGTAAGTCTCACACAACATGGAACTCCTTCTTTCCTCAGAAGTTGATGTGCTGCCCACATTTGTGCAGTGCCTTTCTCATACTAAGTTCAGACAAACACCCACCTAATGCCATTAGGTCAACTAAATAAAGTCTGAGGAAGCCTTCAAAATTCCTGCCCACGATGCAAACAGGGGACTTCAGGACTCAAAAAGAAGGAGTAGGAAAACAAAGGTTAAATTTAATAACCTTAGCTGAATATTAGAAACTTTTAAAGCTCTTTAAAACCAGGGAATAAAAAGGCACAAAATTATACGATTGTACATGACAGAATATAACAGGGAAATTATAGATAATACAAATAAAAAACCAATTACCTTTTCGCTTCCAGCCAAGTCAACCAAATAAAGCTTCCCACTGAGTTTTTTTTCAGTCTCTACATTCTCTTGTTTAATATTAATCAGGAAGATACTGTGACTTCTAGAGCTGTGCTCATTCATGTCTAAAAAGGAAAATTGTTTATTGCTCCATAGAAAACACTGTAGCAAATCTCTAGTCTTAAAAACACAACACAACAATGCACAGTAGCTCCAGTTCTCTGAATTGGAGCCAATTTCAAAATTTACAGAAAGCCCTGCTTCTTCATAAAAACAATGCTAATGCTGGAGATGAAAGACTTAAAATGTCTTCAAGTAGCAAAGAAATTAACCTAAAATTACCAGCCAGCAATTAAGGTTATAGATTCTCCAGGTGTGTCTGAAGTCCCATTCCCATCTGCTCTCCCAGAAATTCACAGCTTCCTCCTGGCTCCACTTTACATCCCTCAGACCATATCTTGGTGATTAGTACCTGATGAAGACTATTTTAGTCATACATGTAAGCTAGGTCTTATCCGTAATATCCTAAAGCTTTCTTAAGGAAGGATTAAAACTTCCTTAAGGAAGGATTAAGACATACATCTCTATACTCATGCTTAATTCTCAAGATTAAACATGCTTTAACATCCACAGAAGTTCTCACTGATTAAATATGCTTCATTAGAAGAGTGCTAGAAAAATTCTTCCTTCAACGAAGAGGCAGACAAAGAGACTCAGCAAATATCCCACTCTGTTAACACTGGTGGTCATTTTTCAAAGCCACCTTACTTTATTTTTTAAAAACAGGGGGAAAACAACTACAGATTTCATTTTAAAAACTTGTAATAATAGAAATGAAATTAGAGCTTGAGCTTAAACCATAAAAAAAAAAAAAACTAACTCAAAAAGGATCAAAGAGCTGAGTATACCTGTAATCCTAGCTACTTGGAAGGATGAAGCAGAAAGATCACAAATTGGAGACCAGCCTAAGCAACTTAGTGAATCCAGGTATCAAAATAAAATTTTTAAAAGGGCTGGTGATATAACTCAATGGTAGAGCACTTGTCTAGCATGCAAGAAGTCCTGGGTTCAATTTCCATCACAGCAAAAAGCAAAGCAAAACAAAACAAAACAAAAGGATCAAAAACCTAAATGTAAAAGCTAAACCTGTAAGACCTATGGAAAAAAACATAAAAGCATCTGGATGTGATCTTTCTTAGATATGATACCAAAAGCACAGGGAACAAAAGAAGAAGAAAAAACAGTGCATCAAAGGAGACTGTGAACAGAATAAAAAGGCAACCCACAAAATAGGAGCTTTGCCAATCATAGATAGCATAAATTATATATATATATATATATATATATATGAGATTTATATACCTATATAATTATAAATTATATATTTATGTCTAAATATATAAAGAACTAAAAATATAATAAAACCTCTCAAATAGTGCATAAAAAAGAATTTGGACACTTCTCAATATGCAAATGGCCAATAAGCACATCAAAAGATGTTCAATGTCATTAATAATCAGCAAACTATAAATCAAACCCACAAACAGAAATCACCTCTCAATCATTAGGATGGCTTCTATAAACACACACACATACCCACAGAAAATAACAAGTGTTGGCACGGATGTGCAGAAACGGAAACTCTTGCATACTATTGGTGGAGGGGACTGAAATAAGCCATTCACAAAAGCACAAACACTGAGGGATTCCATGTAGATGAGGTGCTAGAGCTATCCAATTTTTGAGATAGTAGATAGTAGCTGGGTAGATGGGAAATGCAGAATTAGTGTTTTAAAGATAAAGAATTTCAGCTGGGAAAGATGGAAATGTTCTAGAGATAGCACCAAACATAACTGTACTTATAATAAAGCCCTGGACACACCTACATGACTAAAATAGTAAATTTTATGTTCTGTATGTTTTGACATACACACCCATGAACGCCACATGTGCACAACATGTACACGCGTGCACATGCACACACACACACAGACACAGAAAAGTTGGGATGGGCACTATAGATTATATCTGTAATTCTAGCTACTCTTGAGGCAAAGATCAGGAAGATGGTGGTTTGAAGCCAAACTGGGCAAAAAGAAAACAAAATTTATGAGACATTATCTCAACCAATAAAAAGCTGGGTGCAGTGGTGTGCATCTGTCATCCCAGCTATGTGGAAAGCACATATAGGATCAAAGTCCATGCTGGCCTGGGCATAAATGTGAGACCCTATCTCAAAAAATAACCAAATCAAAAGGGCCATGGGCATGGCCCAAGTGGTAGAGAGACTGCCTAAGCATGAGGCTGTAAATTCAAGCCCCCAGTACTGCCAGAAATAAAACACATGGGGCTGGGAATGTGGCTCAGTGGTAGAGTGCTTGCCCAGCATGCATGAAGCCGAGTTTGATTCCTCAGTACCAATAAAACAGACAAGGCTAGAGGTGGCACTATGGCTCAAGTGGTAGAGTGCTAGCTTTGAGCAAAAGAAGCTCAGGGATGGTGCACACGCAGGCCCTGAGTGCAAGCCCCATGATTGGTTAAAAAAAAAAAAGAAAAAGAAAAAAGAAGACACATGACAAAATTATGATGATGATGATAACATCCTAGATAAAGTTAATTTTTATTCTTTTTTTTGTTGTTGGTAGTGGTGGTAATAGGGTTTAAACTCAGGACCTGGTACTTCCTTAGCAAGTGTTCTACCTCTTGAGCCGTACCTCTTTATCTTTTTGCTTTTAGTTATTTTTCAGATAGAGTCATGCACTGTTGCCCAGGCTGGGACCAACTGCCTCCCAAGTAGCTGGATTTCCAGATATAAGCCACTGTGCCCAGCACTTCTGAGCCAAAGGACCAAAATGGGTAATCAGGCACGCCCTGAATCATCTGTGACTAACAGAACAGTGAGTAACTTTGAAGCAGGAGAAACAGAAGTAGAGTTTGACCCATATATGAATATTATGCTGCATGTTCTTGGGGTAGAAAACTTAACAGTTCTGAATCACAGAGTCATAGAACCACAGGTAGAAGAAAATTGAAGAACCTAGACCAGTCAACCAACCACAACTTAACTCTTCTACAAAACAGCAGCTGATTCACTACCTTCCCAGGTCATGGACTTTATCAGGCAGCCGTGAGGCTTGCAGAGTTCTCCGTGTGACAGGTCAACACCTGCCTCCCTCAAGCTTCAATCATCTGGCGGTCCTCCTACTGCGATGGCACAGAGCAAGCTGACCTTTTGTCTCAACATCAGCATTAGACTATGTTGTTAAGGTAAGCTGCACTGCCCACTCATCCTGTCCACCTCTAGTTTTCCTCCCCAAGCTAAGAAACCTTAGTTCCTTCAGCTTTCTGTGGATTCCCTCTTCTTTGTCTATATCCTCCATATAAAACAGATGACCTCAATTTCTTGAAGGATCTCTGCTGCTGGCTCTCATACCACACGTGTAGTGAAACACATATATGTGTCAAGGCAGAAGCAGTGGAGCAAAGGAGCCAACTGACCTGTGCCCACTGATAACCTAGCCTTCTGGTGTTTCGTATGAAGTGTGTGTGTGTGTGTGTGTGTTGTCTTGTTTGTTCATTTATCTGTCTTGGGGGGCAGGGGAGTACAGAAAAGGGAGTAAGGGAGGGACAAAGGGCGAACAAATGCACAAGTGGTACTAAGTAGACATTATGTTGAAATGGATTAACAATTTGTGGGCAGAGATGAAAGGGAAAAACTGGGAAAGAATGAAGAAAGGGATGATACTGTCCAAAAAGAAATGTACTTAATATGAAAATTTCTCTCTTGAGCCATACCTCTGGTTCGAGATTTTTTTTTAACTGAACAGTAACATGGTTTAAATAAATAAACTTAGACGCTAACTTCTCACATCTTTGATTGGCTATTTGCTTCCCCTAACGTTCCGGCTAAACCTATTATCAGAGCCCAGTGAGTGGCTCATACAATATTGTCAGGACCTCACTGCTCTAAGCACAACAGAATGAACCTTCCCAGGAGCTGCTTTGCCCAAGCTCAACCTGGTGGTATATGAACCTTGGAGTCTGTGTGCTAATTGCTGCCCTCCAACCACTTTCCCAGGAATTATTTTAGTTGTACCTTATCACCTACATGTCCCACTTAGGAGACATTTGCATCCTAAATCTCAGGGAAATAAACCCCACCACTGGACTTACTTGTGACAGCCACGTGTCGGTTCGCTTTGCCTTCATCTATCACATCCATGACTTCTTCAGGGCTTGACACAAACCTCTCGGTGCATCCCTGCAAGCACCACAGTGAGGTCAGGTTAGCCATTAAGGAATTGAAAAGCAGTAACACTCTGAAGCAACTAAGTATTTTTTCATTTCTTTCTAAAAGTCTAGATAAAGAGCCAGAATGCAATATCGATCCCAACTACTTTTCCTCCTGCCTAGGGCTTGAATTCTACATTAAAGAGAAATCTGAGCAAACCCTTGGCATACTAGAAATGAATTATAAAAGAAATGCTGGATTTTCCTAGGTTTTGGAGTACGTAGTCATATTAAAGGTTAAAAAAAATCAATGAGAAGGAATGGACAAAGCAGCTTTGCCTTCTATCTTTAGTTATCAATAGATGCTTTGAAACTCTAGGCATAATGTAGCTATCCCTAACTACAAAGCATAAATTACTGCACTCAATATAAAACCTCTTTAAATGTTAATGATATTAAGCAATTTAAATAATAATTTACATAAAGAGGCTTTGAGGATAGAGTATATGTTTAGCATGTATAAGGAAATGCGATTGATCCTTAGCATAAAAAAGATAGACTCTTACATAAAGATAGACTCTATATATTTACTTAAGTGTAACTTAAGTAAATAAAAGTTAAATTGTTGTTACTAAATGTTGATTTTCTTTTCAATCAGATAAGCATGATATGTAATATTCTGGGCCTTTTATGTAATATTTATTTCAGGAGTAACTGGAGAGAAATTAACCACAATGCCAATCAAGTCTTCCTCATACCTTTACATATGGAACTCTGTTTTTATCTTCATGAACAGCCAAATTGGTTTTGGAGACTGCAGAGAGGATAGTGAGGGCATGCAAAGAAGAAAAGAAAAGTTAAAGACACTGTGTTGGAAGAAAGAGAGATTGTTACAGAAGATAAGCAATTCAATCTTTCTGCAATTTGTAAGTTTAAGCTGTGACTAAGAATGAGCAGACAGCCTGAAGGCAAGTCCTGTAACTCACTTTAACCTTCCTGGACTTGAGTTACAGAGCAAATAAAGACAAGCAGCCAAGTTACTCACCATCAAGTAAGTCCCTTATTTTGTCCAAGTAGATCTCAAAATAGGAAACCTGGTTAAAGACAAATTGAAATTGGAATAGAAATGCCATACTGTATCTCAAAAACTTTATTAAATGTATGAAAACCTTTTCTCTGATGCACTGCTAAGAAGAATAGAAAAGGAGATGGCAAGTGATGGTCCTGAGTCCTGAGCTTCCAGCCTGATCAGCTTGCTCTGTGCATCTTTGCTAATTATTATCAACCTCCAGCCCCACTTGACTCCTTGGTCTCCATCCAGAAGACATCACATGCTAGAAGGACTATTACAGGATTCCAGGTTTTACCTTAAAGAAACACTAACCAAACTTCTATGTGTAACAGTCACTAGAGATAACATCATCTACAAGTAATTTTCAAAAATTAATAGACCTCATTTGATTGCAAGAAACTGACAATCTCATTTGTCCTGAAAAAGAACACAACCCACCCCTTCACAGGTGTGAGGATAAAAGCAGGGCATTTCAAACTACAAGAGTTCAGTAAGGTAACTTGTAGGGTGTTGGTGAAGGTGATCAGGGTCAGAGTCTAGAAAGGATTTGAGGAAAATGTGGTTTAATAAAAAATGATTAGTCTGTGAGAGGAAAGGGATATCCTCCCCCAAATAATTATTCTCAAGCCTTAGCCCAGGACCACTTGCATCAGTCTCACCCAAAGAATTTGCTTCAATTGCAGAATTCTGAACACTATTGCAACCCTACTGGATCAGAATCTCAAGGGGCTATGATCTAGGAATTGAATTCTGAATTCTCCAGGGGATAATTATGTTGGTTGATTTTCTACAAACTACTTAAATGAAGACAGGGGAGAATGATGAAAGGGGTCAGTCCAGATCCATTGTACTTACAAACTGATTTGTTGAAGGGTAACCCATTTGGACAACAACTTAAAGGTAATAAAAATATAATTTAAAAAACTATTTAAACTACATACATAGTCTTAGTATTGAAGGTACACATAGCAAAATATTAGGCCTCAAGTTTCTCACCTAGCACATGAAGCCCTTAGACTTTATGAAGTCAAAAACAATTACTAGCATCCTACAATCTGTTTAAATCTTCCTTCTGATGTAATGGACAAAAAGCAAAATATAATCAGGCACCATAGAATGATGTCTGGGTCAATAATGGACTACATACATAATGGTAGTACCATAAGATCCTGCTGCCTAGTGACAATATAGCTTCCCTAGTTTGTACAGGCACACTCTATGATGTTCAGAGAAAGACAAAATACAACATGACCTTCCTCAGAATATATCCCATCATGATGCCACCATGACTGTAGGTAGACTTACACCGTGAGGCTGCAACTGCATAGATGAAACCCTACATCCCAGCTCGGGACCAGTCCAGTATCTTCTTAGTGAAACATAAACATTTCCCACCCCAGCAGTAATCCCTATCCTAACTCAGCCCTGGTTCATTATCTTTCATGCGTCTCCACGTAGAACTACTTCCCAGTTCTTGGACGATTTGAGACCCTGGCTTTGAACCTTGGAATCTGAGGCTGGGCATCTTCTTCTGGTGGCCTATTTTACAACAACATTGGTCTACTTAAACATCTTTCCAACTTTGCTGTCAGTTCATCTCTCATGGATAACTATCTGATATTTAAACAACTCACTGCTTTTAACTTCCAGTTCTTTTGTTTTTTATTGATTGTTATTGTAAACATGACATATGGAAGGATTATAGTTATGTGAGATGAAGAGTACATTTCTTTTTGAACAATATCACTCTGTCCCTTGCTCTCTCCCAGTTTTTCCCTCCCTTCCCCACCTAGAAGTTGGGTGGTTCATTCATAGTGTCCAGCGAGTACCACTTCTGCATTTATTCACTCATTGTCCTACCATTTCTCTGCCCCTCACTTACCCTCCCAATGACAGATGAACAAACAAACAAGACAAAAGGAAAAGAATACAAACACATCAACAAAGAGGAAAAAACCCTCATTTCCATTTCCTGGACTGCATTTTGATAAATATTACTTACCATGATCAGATGCACATCGCTATTGCACCTTTGGGATCCTCTCCTCAGAAGATCCTCCTTTAGTCTCACTGTGTAAATGCCTAAAGACCTGTATAATTTATCATGTCTCAATGCTTTTTTTTTTTTTGTCGGTCGTGGGGCTTGAACTCTGGGCCTGAGTGCTGTCCCTCAGCTCTTCAGCTCAAGGCGAGCGCTCTACCACTTGAGCTACAGCGCCACTTCTGGTTTTCTGGTGGTTTATTGGAGATAGGAGTCTCACGGTCTCTCCTGCCCAGGCTGGCTTTGAACCACGATCCTCAGATCTCAGCCTCCTGAGTAGCTAGGATTACAGGCGTGAGCTACCAGCGCCCGGCTTTCAATGCATTTTTTTAACCATCCAGTATGTTTACTTATAGACCTATAGGCACATTCTAGTTACCAAAAATGAGGGAAACCATGCAACCTATGTTTCTTTGGCTCTGGCTTATGTTCTTTTCTTTTCTTTTTTGTAAGTCTAGGGATCAAATCAGAGCTTCACACATGTGAGGTAAGCACTCCTCCATTGAGATACGTCCCAGTACTTCACTACTTGCTCATCCTCTCTCTCTCTCTCTCATGTACACACACACACACACACACACACACACACACACACACACACACACACACACACACACACCATTTCTATCTTTAAGTGCCCTCTGATTCTCTAATCCTAGAAATCTCTAACTCAGCCCTCCCTGCAGCCAGCTCCACTCTGCTACCAGCCCATTCTATTTCAGGGTTTTCTGGTTTTCCTTAATAGGATTTTTCTACCACTTGTGAGAAATTAAACATCTAGCTTTACTATCATGGATTACCAAGAAAAATGTATTACATCTTAGAAATCATAACTAGATACTGGCAAATCTGACAATTAGAATCCTGCTCATATTTAATACCAGTTGAGGCAGAATTCTGATTTATTATTTTCTGCTTTTCTTTTTTTTTTTTTTTGGGTCCGGTCGTGGGGCCTGAACTCTGGGCCTGGGTGCTATCCCTCAGCTCTTCAGCTCAAGGCTAGCGCTCTACCACTTGAGCCACAGCGCCACTTCCGGTTTTTTTCTTTTTGCTTATGTGGTGCTGAGGAATCGAACTCAGGGCCTTGAGCATGCAAGGCATGCGCTCTACCACTGAGCCACCTTCCCAGCCCGTATTTTCTGCTTTTCATGTGATGTTTACTTTTGTTATTTTGCTTCAAATACTTTGTGAGACCAAGCAGAAGGAAAATAAATAGACTTGGTAATATGCAGTAACATGCTCAGAAATGTTTCAAACCTCTGTGGTATGAAATTAAGGAGGAGAGTATCAATATTGCCTTTCTCTGATTTAGACTGTTCAAAATAGAGTGGTTAGCAGCTGAGTCATCCACTTGTAATTGTTACTTAAGAAATTAGCCAGCATAATTACAAATACAAAACAGGAACCTGAAGTACAAAATCTAACTCTAGAACTTATAAAACATTGTTTCTCTTCTTTCCCTAGGCCCATTTTAATTTTAATAAGATTCTAACACAAGACACCATTTCTAGGGCAGTAATTGGTTTAACATCTTATTCCAGGTTTATCATGCAAGAACTCTGCAGTAGTTTAAAGTATTTAAATGCAAACAGCCTTAAAGAAGCACTAAGCTCCCTAATCTTGATCCCATCAAAGCAACAAGCTTCTGTTACCTTAGGTATAAAGACTCCAGCAAGAACTGAAAGCAGGCTTAGCTAATAAAAGCAACTGTACAGAAACCTGATTTGCTGGATGTAATTTATAATTGGGCAAATAGTTTTAATCTTCATTCTATGTAATTTTAAAAAAGCCATATTGAAGAAAGAAGTAAGGAAAGATGTTTAATATAATGGAAAAGGTACTGCCTATCAAATTGGTCCAATTTATGATCTATGTATAATGTGGGCTATCTCAATCTGTCTTTATACTTCAACTTCCTAACTCTAAACTTCTGGGTCTGGTGCACTGAAGCCTTTACAGAAATCTTTTGATTGATTGGCTCAGTTCTGAAACTTTTTAGAACAGCCTCTTCTCCAACTCGTCCTGTTAACCCCTGACTAGTCACAGTGATGGGGGAACAGACACTATGTGCATCTTGGATAGCATGAATCAGGCCTGGGACATCTGCTTTAGGAAGATCCAGTGAACCTCTTCTCAAGGAAATGTGGGATTAACAGAAATTTGGAAAAGAAAGTACCCTGCCTGACCCCTTTCCCAACAAGAGGAAGGAAAGAAGAAAGGAGGAAAGCAGTAAGGCAAAAGAACAGAACTATAGAGGGTACAGAGTTTCTTTGGATGGGAGTAAAATAGTCTGGAATTATGTAAGCCTTGTGGTAATACAATTTGGAGAATATGTTAAAAACAAACAAAACAAACAAAAAAACACCAAATTATCTTTTTAAAAGATGAACTGTATAACCTGTGAATTACATTTCAATTTTTTAAGCTTATTTAAAAAAAAAAGAGAGAGAAAAGGAAAAGCGTGGCCTCATTTCCTACCCTCCACAGCCTTGACCCAGTCCTGCTGATTCTGTATCTTATAACGATTTCCTCTATTTGCTTAAATAAGTGGTCTTCAGTAATTTGCACACAAAGGAGTTCTAGTGAATATAGTCCTGAGGCCAATTTTTATAATTTAATAGCGATAAGACAGAGTAATCTCTTTTGCAATTCAAATTTAAGCCAGGACAGATGTTGGGTTTAAAACAAAACAAAAATAAATAAAAAATAAAAATAAAGCAAGGGAGGAACATGCAAAAGACTTCCCCTCATAACACTTCAGGGTGTGTTTCTTCAAAAACTAGCCTTTCATACCCCAAGGAAGAATACAGAAAAACACAGTATAGTATGTGCCCAGCCCAAGTCACCTTACCCAGTAGCATACCTAAACCTGTGATAAACATTGTTCAACAGTCATTCTCCCAGCAAATCTGAATATATATATATATATTTTTTCTGGTATCCCACCTATTAATAATGCCAGGATTGGGGGCCTATGGAACAATACTTTTAAGAGCAGTTCTAACCCAAACAGGCATATTCAGATCCTGTCTATACAAATCCACAGGGTATAGGACAGAATTCACACAACTGTCAAGCTGATTCCAACCCAAAGAGAATTTTTGCTTTCATTTAGGCCATGTTTAAGCAGATCACCCAGATGACTAAGATTTGCCTACATTTGCCTAAATAACAAAACAATGTTTGACAGAAGAATGTCATTGAATTAGAAAAGCCAAGCTTTTATAAGTACAGAAAAGGAGGAAGACGAAGGAACATGACTTGGAGCCCCATCAGCAGTACATACCTTGATGTGAAACTCCAGGTTCTCATCCATGGAATAAATATGGTCAAAGATATCATGTGCAATCCTCGGGATGATACCCATGAGTTGAGGGTCATGCAGCTTTCCCTAGTGAATGAGAACACAAGAATATGGGGACATATATGAGAGAGGAAAGGGACCATGCCCTGGGCTTCTTTTCTCTTTTTTCTTTGACACCAATGTCTTATTTAATATGCCAGATATGCAAACTGAATTTATGGGTCATACTTTCCTGTGTTCCATATAGCAAACAGGGCTTCTAGGAATGATAGATTCATGGGTAGGGTTATAAATGGGACTAGGTCTGGCCCATCCTCCCATGTTTCTTAAATAGAACTCCATGGTGTAGGGAGCCCCACACACAGGCTGCTAGCTGCTTTTGGGGATTTACCTGACGTGCCAAAACCAAAAGGTGGCAGAATAAATTCATGAGTTCCTCTTTCAGCCAAGCAGAGGGTTTTGTGTCAGGTATTGAGGCTTTCTGCTGCACTCAGAGCAGCAAATGCAGGGATGTGGGGTCAGGATGTGAACAGGGAGGAAGGAAGGAGAGAACATATGGGTCTTGTGTGTGAATGCTTAGTAATAGACCAGCACCAAGAATCCAAGTCCTTGAATGAAATCACTTAATTTTGTTAAAGATATCATTGCTCAAAAATCAAAAAAAAAAAAAAAAAAAAAAACATCAAAATACCTTCAGTATCATTTGCACACCAATCAAGAAAACCCATCTCACCAATTTCTTTTAAAACCTGTAACTCCAAGCTTGAATTGCTTCAAATAATTGTTGGCTATTTCTAACAGTTAAGTCCACTTTTACCATATGCTCATATTTTTTCTCTCCATTTTTATTTCTATTTCTCTTCATTTTACCCTAGAAGTGAAGAGATAAATGAGTTCTTTACTATTTTAACTATTACTAAAATCATTTTTAGGGTCATGAGTTTGCTACCACTGAAGATTCACAGCGGGTGTAGCTTCATGAAACTGCACAGTACGTGTGAGGCCCTAGGTCAGTCAAGCCCTAACACAGAGAAGGAACCTAGGCAGTGGCACAGAACCTGCCAGCAACTCCTGTAGAAAGCTCTACAAAGTATTTACAGCCATGGCTGCTGTGGCCCTAGGTGTGCAACCTTAGTAGAATCATCTATGAGGTACACAGTTAAATGAGAATTTAAATTCTCTCATGTAAGATAAACAACTTACTATGTATAACACACAGTCTACAGGTTTACAGGTTACAGCAATATACCCAGAGCATTTTCTGGATCTTCAAGAAGCTATAAAACTCTAGGAATCAATGGAACAGAAAGATCAACACAAAAATCTAGTTTTCTCTTCAGTCTTCCAAGGATGCCCAACAACCATAAACTTTTGCTCATATCCTTGTTCCAAATCTGCTGAATGCCTTGAAAAGTCAGTGGTTCTCTTCAATGAATTCTCCTTTTCCCACTGGCCTCCACCATACAGTTCCCCTCTGAAAGTGACTTCTGAGTTAGCAAAAACAAGAACTCACATGAACCCCCATACTGATGACAGATCACCAAGCACCTGGCATGCCACGTCATTCATCTGCACACCTAACTCTTGACTTTCCTCTCAATTAAAAGCAACAGAAAAACAGAACTTAAATATGCCTGGCCTCTGGCAACATGGGAAAATGGGAAAACTCTGTAATGTCCTCATCTGTTACAAGCAGTTAATCATTTGATGTGTTTACATTGTGGTTTGTTTTTTTTAGTTTAACTATTATACACACTAAATACAGGTGTGGCCGAGGCATACATATTTCCCTAATACTTAGAGAACTTAGCCTAGTACTTAGTGCATTGAATTAGTACAAAGTTTAAATTAAATAAGTATATAAAGTACTCAAGGGGCTCAATAAATGTCAGCACTATAACATTCAGTTGACAGCAGGTGCTCACCAAGCAGCTATTGGGGCTAATTTGACCTGAGGAGATGGAAAATACCTCTATCCCCCAGACCATTATTATAGATTACATCCTAGGAAAACTGCACCAAGTAACTAATACTGAGGGCCTCAAATCTTAGTAGTACTTAAGCCACACCGGACCAAACCATGGGCCATGTTTTGGACTGTGGATATCGTTGGAGGAAACGATACCTACAACGAAAACAAAGCGCAATCAAAAGACCTCCCTACCCAAACTTCCAAAGCTCTTGAATAATTCATGATAATCCTTTAGCTTCTCCTCAGTGGTCCACATCAGAGAAGAATGTCTGGTAATCCAAAAGTCATTTATAATTGACTCAAATCTGTTCCTCTAGAAGCTTTCTCTTTCAACAGATTCATCTAATTGATTTCTGGCTGAAACTGAGCCACAGCTGTGTACTTGTGTGTGCTTTTGTGTGTATGTGTGTGTGTGTGTGTGTGTGTGTGTGTGTGAGAGAGAGAGAGAGAGAGAGAGAGAGAGAGAGAGAGAGAGAGAGAGAGAGAGAGAGAGAGAAACAGAGAACCAGAAACAAAGAAACTGAGGGAAGGAGAGAGGATAAGGTCTTTACTGCATCTATGATGACTGCTTGCAGATAAAACTCACATGCACAGACACACAATGCATAGTCACCTCGGGCCATAAACAATGATGAAGTTTCTACCTATAAAAATCTGTGGAATGGAAGGACCCTTCCAGCTGAGGTATCAAGAGAAGGCTTCCTTGGGAGACAGCAGATTCTGAGGAATAAGTAAGCTAAGAGATGGGTAGAGGATGTGGGCAGAGAAGTTGAGCTGGCAGAAGCAAAGTACAGGGGGATCCAGGAACAAACTGTGCCGACTCAGCGAGCAGTGCAAGTATAGTCTGGCTGGAAGATCAGAAGTGCAAATGAGGAGCAAAGAAATAAGCTGCTTTCCTCCTCTTGTGGCTCCCAGAGAGCCAACAAGAGAAACAGTGAACAACTGCACACTGCACACTTCTCTTCAAAAACTCTTCTAAATGTGACCTTCCAGGAGCAGGTACAGAAGGAGAAGCAAGACCTAGACACTGCCCACTCTTTTGTTCCAATGTCAGTAGTCCCCTCAACCTCTAAGCAGGACAGTTTTGTCCAGCACTCCAGATGGGAAAGCAGGCAGCCTTCAACACACAAGCAGCAAGCACTTGACAAGCCTGGCTCAGCTGCTGGAAAGACTGCACTATTCAGATGGCCTGCAGGTGTCCCTCTGAACAGAAGGGAAAACACAACGTGTCTCCAGCCATCTCTTTTCAGTGTGCTGAAAGAGGGCCACAAAGTAAGGCACAGGGCCAAAGGATGCCTTTTTCCCAGCATCCCACTGAACAAATAGACAGGTCCCTCTTTCTGTCTGGAGCCAGCACCCTCCCCAACAACAATCTGGGTATTTTGGTGACAAGTCCACAGACCTTGCATAATGGTACCTCCCCCCAAGCTCACACCAGAACTGCCTGGTGATTTGTATTTTTACTAAAAATCCACCTTAAATGCTTCATTATGAGAGGCTAATCTTTCCAGTTTTATGTAGGCTTATCAGTGTGTTCCTCTCAACAGAAGATAATGGAAAAAAACAACTGGATGCCAGACCCAAAATAGGAGGATTAAAATGAAAAACAGCTTTAAAATGTGACAGCTCTGTTCTCATCCCGTTCTCAAGGCCTTTGAAAAGATCACAATATGTAATACATAAAACCTTCCTTTCCAAGGACACAGACTCTGAATAGCTTTTCTGATTTAACTGCATTCCAGGGCACTGGAGTTCTAAGACTCCCACAGTCCTTATAACGTTAGATTGGGGTTCCTCCATTCCTTTGCTTTTCTCTTATTTTCCAATCTCCATTACCTAGGAAAGACAAGGTTCAGAAATGAGGCTGGGTGGCAAAAGGAAGACTCACATCCACACCAACTCCATCCTGAGGCACACATAGGTGCATGAGCTTCAGAAGTCACAATCAAGAAGACAATACATGAAAACTGCTTGACAAAGCAGCAAATAAGACAAATTTAAGCAACTAGAAGTGACACTTGTGAACAATCTGGCTCCCTTCAGGACCCTCCCTGTGAGTGTTCTGGGCAAGCAAGCAAGACTTGATATTGTGAGATCCAAAGGTTCAAGAGGTTCCAGTTAACAAAATGCCTCCTACATTGGTACTAAAGGGGTATCATTCTCTTCATGATCATCCTACACCTAGCTATTCTTCCCCAAGGATAAGAAGCTATGCAGTCTTGCCCTTGATGTCTTAGATTTTTAAATTCCTCACATTCAGCCAATACGTTGTATTTCCCAAAGATGAATTAATGCCAATGCTTAAAAAGTCGCCTTATAAGCTTTCCTTAAGTGTTTGGGGGATTTAAAATATTAAGAATTTGTTTTTCTTTGGCATTTCATGTAGTCTGATAATTTCCCAAACCTCAATAGCTGATCGAGTCTCTCTCATGAGATACTGCATGATACTTCTCTTCCTCCCCGTTCTTTCTTTTTCTCTCTCCTTATTTTCTGACCCATAAAACATTGTTCTGTCCACAGTAAGAACGGATAAGGTAGGGCTCAGGGAGTGTGTAACTGCAACTTTTCTAGGGCCTTACAAGATCAAGGGCCTGTAGCGCAGTTAAGAGAGAAGGAGGCGATGAGAGGAGCAGGGAGACAGCAGAACAGACCCTTCTCAGATTCCTGCTGTCCAGTGTGAGGTCAACACAGGCTATGTCACTCATACACTGGGCAGCAGTCCTGTTTGAAGAGGTGCAGAGAAATCTCATGTGTCTTTCACCTTCATGATCCTGCAACTACTTCCTTTCAGCAAAATGGACAAAAAGAGTCAACGCCACAAAAAAAAAAAAAAAAAAAAAATGGTCCGCCCCCTTCTTAAAATCAGTGTGCAAAACATCAGAGCCCTGAACACTTTAGCCTCAAGCCTTTGAAATCTCCTCTTCAATAGGAATGATTCATAAGCTAAACCTACTCTGCAGCAGCCTTCACAGCACTATTCCCAGGAGGGATTCATAAATGAAAAAATTCTAGCTTGAAGAATTAAGGATTCATCTTACCCTGCTGCTTGTAAGCTGAATTCCCCAAACTTGCTCCATGCAGTTTCTTATAACAAGCATTCTCTCCTCCTCTACTCACTTATCAGGTAAGCCTAGCCTTTGGAAGATTTATCCAGCCCTGAAGGCCTAACAGCAGCCTCTGGTTTAAAAAAAAAAAAAAAAAAAGCAGGAGAAGAGGAGGCAAAGGATCCCAATTCTACATAAAAACATGCCTGCTCTGAAGACAACCTGAAACCATAGAGCTCCATGGCAAACAACATGAATTGGGGTCACACACTTGCATGCCTACAGGGGCCAGATGTGTATTACAGAGGAAGAATGCTTGATTAAGTTCATATTCACTCTCCATGTATATTAAGTAGATTGGAGTCCACTGAACAGCCCAGCACCAAATATATGGTGTGGATAGGCCTACTCTACTGGTCTCTTCCAACACATACCCAGTGACAACCACTACTCCACATATAAGAAATGTTAATAGGAAGATAAAAGGGGCTAGGAACATGGAGCAGTGGTAAAGTACTGGTCTAGAATGCATAAAGCCCTCAGTTCAATCCATGGCAACGAAAATTCTTGCTCTAGGGGAATCCTAAATTTGTGCTGATGGTCAAATTTACCAGTATTGCTAGATCTTCAGCATAAGGACATGGGAAAAAATTAGAATTGTATGAAATCATCCCAATTTAAATACTACCTGAATTTTTTCTTCAAAATCATAGCACAAGTCAAACAAAAATATGTCTGTAGGCTGAATTTAGTCCACAAGCCAGCTTCCTTACATCTTTGAGCTATAGTTTTTAAATTTTATTCTAAAGATTCTTGCCTCCCAAGAGGTGTTCCCAAGGATAAATAACTTTTATATCAGGTACTGTCAGTTAAGCTGGGCTGCCATTCATAAGGATAAACTTTCATCATTGCATTAAAATTTGGGGTAGGGAAAATCCAACCCAGGGCCTGACACATGCTAAGTAAGCACTCCATCATTGAGTTACAACACCAGGACTAATGGTTATTTTTAACAGAATTTATTGCTACAATTGTACAGAGAGATCAACAAAGCCTTTTAAAAAATATTGAACTTGAGACTTTATTATTTGCAGCTATTTTAAAACTTCAAACTTACCTCCATGGTATGGGTTTTTCCTGATGATGTCTGTCCATATGCAAAAATGGTCCCATTATAACCTTCAAGGACATCTTTGAGGGAGAAAAAAAATATATAATTAAATTAACTCGTTACTATGATCTTATACTGGCTTTGGCTGCATATTTTAAAGTTACAGTTTCCAAATGACTCATCTAATTTTTCACAGAAATGATATATGCCACTCCATGTCTTTTTAAGTAGAGATATGCAATAAGAACTGCTCCTCAAATAGAAGGAAATGGATGAAATGTTTTACTGAAAACAAGGAGGTGGAAGATAATATCAAAATTAAACACAGATATCAAGCACCAAACAGAAAATTTGTTTCGTAGGAAGAATATTTAAATTTTCTTTCACATACTGAGATCAGTTTAAGGAGGAAAACATTATCCAAGTTCTAAATCTATGAAGTCTGTTAAATGAGAATATCTTGCTTGGGAAGAGAAGATTTGCTTGGGATCAGCCTAACCTGGACCAGGCCAGCACCTCAGGAAGTTTGCTTCTGAAGGCCAACAAGATCTCCATCAGCTCAGATCCCAGAGCTGGGGGAAGGAGAAGGCCCCAAACTGTTAACTGAACCTCATGGTGACAATCCAGTGAGGCTGGAAACCAGCAAGATTCACGCTAAATATGTCTCTCTTTTTTCATTGCTGGTGCACAAGAAATTTCTTTTCATTATACAATGAGCATACTGTGTAAGCACAAGTGCTCACATACACACACACACACACACACACACACACACACACACACAGAGCAGGCTGACTTCCATTACACACAGGAACAAGAGGAAGCATGCAGATGAGGGCTGCTTTCTGCTAAAGAGCTAGAGATTGTCTGTGGGAATTCTTTCAAAGCAGCAGAGGTGATTAAAATACATTTCCCTCCTGCCTTCCTTTCATTCACACAAACATCACTGAAATGGAAATGATGCACAATTAATATCCCCCACCAGCCATTCTGCACCAGGGAGGAAGTTTTCGTGCATGCAGATTATGAGGGCAGAAAAAGGTACAGAGTGTCCTCTTCAGGGCTATGGAAGAAAAGCAAGCCCAGCAATCAACTCATCCATCCATTTCAGGCTGAAAAAAGGGGGAAAGGGTCTGAATTTTATGTTGCTGGTTTGTGTTTGTTTTGAAGTTCTCAAAAACACATTTTATATGCATTTTGCTGGTCTGAGGTGGGATCAGAAAAAGAGGATTTTCTTTTAGGAAAAAGAAAGAAAAGGAAAGTGAAAGGGAAAGAGAAAGGGAGGGGAGGGGAGGGAAAAAGGAAGGAAAGAAAAAAGGAAATAAGGAAGGAGAGAACGACTAAGTAGTAAAATTTTTTTAATTCTAGTCATCCTTGAAAATTTTTATAAAGCTCTGAGAAAGAGAGAGAGAGAGAGAGAGAGAGAGAGAGAGAGAGAGAGAGAGAGAGAGAAGAGAATATGAAATGAGAGATACCCTTCACATGTTCACACACATCAGTTCTGAAAAGGGTTTCCCAGGCAACAGCAGAAAGCAAAACCTTGAAGTAAGGACTAGTGTTAGAGGTTCAAGCCTGAGTTTATATGGAAATACCCACTTATTCAGAGGGAAGATTCCACAGGCCTGCAGAAGCTGGCAGAACAGAGTGCCTCTACACTTCCACAGATACAATGTGATTTGAAGAGCCCCAAAAAGGTCCCACCCTTCAGTTGTGCCTTTAAAATTCTGTATTTATTACTCTAGGAAACTAGAATGCAAGCCACAAACACAATATTAAACCATCTTTTCATTAGAATTCCAACACCCTCCCTACCAAACTAAAAATACCCCCCTATATTAAGGTTTTATATATGAAAAGGTTTAGGGACCCTTTTTGCAGGTGCTAGACAAAGCTAAGGGTATCAAGGCTAAAGTCCAGCTCCCTTTCTTTCTTCACAGGGTGACAACCTGACATCTAGTGAACACTCCACAAGCCACCATCAGCCAGAAGGCCACAAAGAGATGGTTCTTAGAAAACTGCCACACCATAAAAGAAAATCAGTTCAACACATGGGCCCTGCCAACATTAGAGCCCATAGCCCATGCTTCCTCCTCCACAAGGAGAAGCAAGGCGGCAGAGCACTTGTACAAAGCCACTTGAGTATATTCTCACCAAGCACAATGCACAGACCTACAACTACCAGTAGTTAGCTGCTGTCTACAAAACTGTGGCCAAAGACAGAGTTACATCATGTCAGAGCATTAGAATGTACTCAACCTGTTCTTTGTTATTTCAACCTTGAGCACAATTCTTTCCTTTTTTTCTTTTTTGAAGAAAGAGAGAACATAATCCCATCAGAACAAAGTCTGTCTGGTCTTTAAAATATTATATTCATGTTACAATCCAATGTTGGAGAACCTCTCTTAAGACTGAATGGAGCTAATAAATGTCCCTTATGGACTCAATTTTCATTTAGATTGTACTTTAAAAAGAAGATAACTCTTGGAATTCATTGGTGGCTATTTACTCCCAAATTCCAGGATTTGGTGGGGTTTGTGGTTACTTTGAGAGATGTTTTTGAGAGATGTTTTTGGTAGTCTATGTTTTATCATATTTATTTATTTTTAAGACTTTATTTCAATGTAACTACTACTTCTAGAAGTAGTCACCAAAACTCTGGTTACATGACATACATTTTAAAAAAATAGTAACCTGGTGTACTTTTTTTTTTTTTTTTTACAAATGTATAAATGTCTTCTACCAAATGCTGCTAAAGAAGGTGGCAGGAACACTGGACAATACACTTTTAGTTTGCCTCAAAGAAACAATCAAAAAAGAGGAAGTCTGTTTTCCATGGAGGGGAGAGTTAGAAGGATGCCAAGGATAAGCATGAGAGCAAGAGGAAGGGGCAGAGAATAGAAAAGGAAGGTGCTCAACACTGCTCAAGCCACACACCCCTCTGCTCTGCCCACCTCCGACAGAAGCCAACCACAGAAAGCCACTTTCATCACACTGAATGGCAGACAGTTCCCCTAAGGAGGAATGCATTTCTTTAACTCTCGGCCAAAACAAAAGGACTATTTCTACACACGAGCCACATTCAACCAAACAAAAATGATTCTTTGTGACAGGGTCTGGTGTGATGTGATTTCAACTCACACCACACAGCCTGCCAAACCTCACCAATCGGGAACCAATCAGCCAGCAGTAGGCAAACCCCAGTGAGCTTCTATGGTACCAAGTACCCTCTCCTCTCCTGAGACAGAAGTTAAGTACTCACTGCCTCCAGCTGTAGATTCAGCTCTGCCTGCATCCTAGGTTTTGATCCCTTTAAGCTCTGATATTGATGGACCATTTAACTCAGTTTAGGTAGGAAAGCTGTCGTGTTCTCCTACAATCTCCAGGTGGAAAGATGGCCTTTAAGGGACACCAGGATATCTCACAATAGGTGCTGAGAGCCCATACATAACTTGGGATCTTCAGACTCTTGCCAGCCAAGGAAACCATGACCACTAAATGTATAGGCAGCATTTACCAGGTAAATGCTGGACCAGGCTAGCCTGAATGGCAGTCACCAGGAAAAGACACACTGTATTTCAAAATGGAAATGCCCCCTCGTGACTGGTACACAGCCAGAGCCCCTGCAAGGCTCTGAAACCACAGTCACTATTCCCTTTCCTCTACTCCTCCTCCATATGGCCTGACAGAAAAGGAACAAGCTCTAAAATAGTTTTTTGTGTGATGCTCATAAGGACCATGGTAGCTTGGAAAAATATGTCAGTCAAATAAACAAGGCTCAAGTTCCAGCTCTATTCTCTCCAAATAGATCCAACTAAGTCACTCCATCTCAGAGTATCTAATTCCACTTCAGTGTAATGGGAATTATAATACTTAACACCTCATAAGATTAAGATTTAAGATGTAATAATATGTAAAGTCCATAGATGGTAACATGACAAATAATAACAGTTACATAAATATATTTCTTCCTAAGGGTCTTATATAATAGAAAATGGGTTTTCAAGAAATCAGAACAAGAAAAGCCACAAACAACATTCTCTGCTTTGTGTCTAGTTAATTTGGAAGGTGAATATCCAGTGTGGCTGGAACATAGTTACCAGGACCTCCACAAGAGCATCCAGTAACCATGCTGCTGAATTCCTGGGCATCACAGGAGCCTTCCTATTTGCAGGGCTGCTACTTACAAATCCTACAACCTCTTCCTGAAGAAATGGGCAGTTCAGTGTATTCTTTCAGTGAACGTTTTGAAAATATACCAGACAAAGTTCAGAGCATGGGCGATGCCAAGACTCTACAATATAAAATATTAAGATACCCAGTCAAAAGGTATGGAATAAAAGAAAACTAAGAGAGAGAATAAAGACGAATAAAGACATCCAGTTAAATGGGTTTCTAGATTCTTAGAATCATTAAGGGTTTATATAGACAAAGAAGGAAAACTCACAAGTCCACTACAGTATCATGAGTAAGAGGGCTGTGATTAGCTTCAGAGTCACTTGATTCACATCTTGGCCCTCTAGAAAAAAAAGCCTCTGAGTACCACCACTCAATCCTGACAATGGTAGAACTCTGATGACAAGAGACACTAATACAGAAATGCACAGCCTCTTCCCTCACACTAGCCCAAGTGGCTATTTTTAAAGTCCCATCAGCCTTCATCATGCCCTAACCATTTCTTTTCAAGGGAGAATAAGATACTCTACATTGCCATCAAATGAATATGCTTATATTCCTTGCACTCTGAAAATATCTGTTTTAGTTATATATGTTATATATGTAATCATATATATTTACACACTTATATAAAATCATTTCCAATACATACTATTAGAGTATATATTAATCATATATAATTATTTCTAATGCTCTGAAAATGTATGCATATATATGTGTTATGAATGTATATATGTATACATATATATGCATATATACATTCATAACACACACATAAACCCATTCTATTCTAATGGTTTTCCTTGTGACTCACTATTCATAGGCGTTTCCAGATACTACTTATGTTTTTAAATTTGTTTTTAATGGATTTATCAAAATGTAAAAATTATGCATAGATAGGTGGGACTACCTATTTCTGACATCTTAAACTGTGGAAAATTCCAAACTTTGAGAGAGAAGCAGTCATTTAGAGAATAAAGATTCAAAGACAATGATTATTGCGTGTTAATCATAGGATTTTTAATGGAGTGCATCTATGCCTAATTACATTGGCACAGAGGCAGTAGCATGTATTTAAATGGCTGTCATCCTTGGCACAGCATGTGGTAAATAGGAAGGAGAGAGAAACTCTGGCGTATATGTGATTGATGTTACTTTAATAGAAAATATGGCTGAATCCAGTAGTAGATGGGAAGAAAAACTGAGCAGGAACAAACCAAGGAAGATATTTTGCAAAAATATAGAAGAAAACATGTTTAGATAAAAGGAGAAGAAAAGGGATAAAAGACAAAAATTACCACTAAATATAGGCCCACACAATGAACTCCAAAAGAGCTCAAACATAGGCACTCTTTTTCTCTTCAGTGTTTTTCTATAATCTCACTGTGAAGACCTTCAAAATTAATTGATGTCTGCAACAAGAATGTGGATAAGCATCCATCTCCGCAAGGAACATTACATACTGACGGGAGGCTCCCACGCAGGTGTCCAGGGTCAGAATTAATCGAACAGATGTACCCAAGGCTGATTTTCATGAATTTCAAATAGTTGGGTTAGTCAGCTTAGCTGCTAAAAACATGCAGATCTAAAATGGTAAGGCTTTTTTTTTTCTTTTTGAATCCAGAGCTACCTACACAGGTGGCAACATCAAGACATTTGAAAGCACAGTCGCCATGCCACTGAAATTTGAAGGCAAGGATGCAATGATGAAAAAGCAAAGTAGCAGGAGATGCCCCCCAGCTCTGTCCAGATGGCAGGCTCCATCAAGGCAAGCTCCAACCTGCCCCTGATTTAAAAGGGCAAGGGAGAACAATGTGTAAATTGCTTCATCTCCCTGCTGTTATTTTGATACAAATCCTCCGAGGCCAGTCCCAGAGCAAAGGACTGATTTCTGAGAAATACATGCAGGCGTGAGGCTACTAGTTTGGAGGAACAAATGTCAGGATCTGAGTAGGATGGCAGAAAGTGGGCTAGATGAAATTATAATTAAGGAATTCTGAGGAGCATAAACAGCTCAAAAACCATCAGGGTAATAAGATTTTATTACACTGTAAAAAAATTCCTTGGTGCCAAAAACGTCACATTTAAGACTTCCTTCTGACAGATACTAGTAAAAAGGAGACAGAAACACACAAAATAAATCAGCCAAAGTACAATAAGAGCATCTAGAAATGGTATTTCCTCCTTCAACGGAAAAAGGAAGTTTTGTACTTGTAGTATTTTAAAAACCATTATGGAAATAGTGTGACTACTATTTACCTTGCCTTTAAGCTTTTAGGTGACAGAATAATTTTGCCAAAAAGGTGGCAAAAGAAAAGAAGGGTGTGCAGAAAGACTGAATAACATGCCTAACACCACAGCAAATCAGGGCCAGAGCCAAGAGAGGAATTCAGTGTTTCTAATTAGCAGGGCTCTGCTTACAGTCAAGGCACATTGATTCCTAGGCTGTGAATATCACTTAGTGTTTTCAATTACTCTGAAAGGCCCAGGAGGAAATAAAGAAATAGCACTTACCTTTGACAATTTGCTTTGCACATGCATTGTAAACCTGCTCTTGGGTTGTGTTGGGCGGCAACACTCTGTCAAAGACATATGGCTTTCCTTGCTGAAAAAGACAGATGAAAGAAAGAAAAGGGCAGAGAAAATGCATTAGAAGTTTAGGAATAAAAGGCACTACTATTAATAGTTAGGTCATAGGCAACTAAATCACCAACCCTATTCATTAAGGGAGTTCCTTACCTTACCCGGGGAATTTTTACAGCAAGAACGACATTTACATTATGCATACATGTATTGTATGATAATAACCCAAGAGCAAAAATAGCCTTAAATCTGAAACATTTTTTATGAAAAATGGACAGACACTTCATTCATTTGAATGTTTATTTACTGATACCTTACACGGGCGTGAATGCTGAACAAATCAGAACAACAGTTCTGCCTTACATATAATGCAATTAAACGGAGCAGATCGTTAATAAGCCAACACAGAGGAAAATGCAAATTAGCTAGATACATACAAAAATGAGAGAACACACAAAGCAAGCCTGGCTGAAGAAGTCTCAATTAAGAGGATCAGAAAGATAAAGGCTAGGTAAGAGATGTGGAAGAATAGAAAGCAGAGGGCCCAGCAGGAAGCAAAGGGCCTGGTGTGTCCAAGAAACTGGAGTGTGGGGCTGGGAAGTGGCTCAGTGGTAGAACGCTTGCCTTGCATGCTCCAGGCCCTGGGTTCGATTCCTCAGCACCACATAAGCAAAAAGAAAAAAGTCAGAAGTGGCGCTGTGGCTCAAGAGGTAGAGCGCTAGCCTTGAGCTGAAGAGCTGAGGGACAGCGCCCAGGCCCAGAGTTCAGGCCCCAAGACCGGACCCAAAAAAAAAAAAAAGAAAGAAAGAAAGAAAGTGGAGAGTGGCATAAGCAAAGGGTAGCAAGGAAATCAGGGCACTGCCAGCCAAGGTAACACACATGGGCTTTGTTTCTTGGGAAGATAAGTAGACAGATAGCATTGCTCTTTGTTTCAAATGATTCATGTGTTTTCCTTTACTTGCATAAGTGATGCCTTCATTGGGTTGAGGCTTGTGAGACAAAGAAGTCTTTCTGTACGGCAAAACAAGAGATTTCCAGGGTATGGGAGTTTGTTAAGAGTTTGGTTCAATGCTATACCATGTGCCATTCAAGGAGGGAGGGGAAAGGAGGGAGGGAAGTCTGGCACTTTAAGGGCTCTGCTACCTGGGGCTAATCAGTAGGAGAAAAGGTGGCAGACAAGATGTATGTTTCTACCATTAGCACCCAGAGAATCAAGGACCCCTCCTTGTCCTTTTTTCATACCCTGATCCACCAGGAGGCTCCTCAGTCTCATTTTTCCCATATAGCAGAGAGGAGGTAAATACACACACACAAACACACACACACACACACACACACACACATACACACACACACACACAGAAAGCTGGGCGCTATGGCTCATGCCTGACAAATTAGTTATTCAGCAGGTTGAAATCTGAGGATCATGGTTTGAAACCAGCCCAGACAGAAAAGTCCATGAGACTCTTATTTCCAATCAACTCGCCCCAACCTTACAAAGTCAGAAAGTGTAGCTGTGGTTCAAGTGGTGGTAGACAGTGCTCAGGCCCAGAGTTTCAGCCCCAGCACAGGCAACAAGAAGAAAAAGAACACAAGAGAAAGGAGAGCTTCCACCCATAACTTCTATGAGGAGCTCTAGACAACCACTCAAGGACAGTCTGACTCCTTAAAAATGCAATTGATCATGAGGGATCCAAGAGAAAGGCTTGTTACATCCTATAACCTTAGCACACAAAGTAAGCACAGTGCTGTCAGACTGGCTTACAGATTTTTACAGGCAGAAAAATCCTATCCTTTAGGCTATATGCTTGAGCTTTAATCTTTCATAACAGGATTGAGCCAACCAGGTAAACAAGCTACTTCAAATTTGTTCTTAGACAAACAGAATTTCCAGGTACCCAAAAGCATAAAAAATAAGATTGCTTTCTACACAGTGGCAGAATCAGAGTCCTTCTGATAAAATTATACAAAAGGATTACTTTTTGATGTTTTATTCCCAGTTTTGTTCCCTTTAGTTAAGGAACCAAATATTTAGTTAAATAACCGAAAAATATTCCTCATCACAATCTACTGCCAACTCTCTGCCCACTACATTCTTATTAGTTTCATCCGCTTGTAAAATTCAACCAAATGTCAGTAGGATAAAAGGTAAGAATAAACATTTACAAGTTCATCATCCTTCAAACCTAAAAAGAGAAGATAGTTTTCCTTAATTAAAACAGAATTCAGTATTTCTCTGTACTTAGTTACAATTACCAAACAACATCATCTTGTTTACAGCACAATTCTGCTTTGGGTTTTAGAAAGAAAAAACGGTACTTAAATATGGCCAATGAATTATAGTGTGTGGTACAAAAAGGTAGAGGTAGGAATCTCATTTTGGAGTTCTACTTTCACTTTAAGATAGGTATAGAACAACAATCTGTTACTCTTCTTTTAAAATACATGATTTATGAAGTCACAATCCAAAAATATTTATTTTCCATGGCCTACGACTTACAGCAGCTGCCTTTAGGTATTCATGATTACACTGGTACTTTAAAAAATTTTGAAAATAAGTTGTTATAAAGCCTATCTCATCAAGATTACCACATTCAGAAGTTAAAAATGTAGATTTTTGTGTGTATGCATCTTTTCCTGCATTGAGTTAGTTACAGGTTTTTATTTCAGGTGAACCTTAAGTCTTAGAGTGATTCAAATTTAATTACTAAATATATCAGAACTAACTTAAATCAGCTATAAATGCACAATTACCATTAACACACACAAACAGACACACACATGCACAAGTTACAATGAAAATTTCACATATTCTAATCAAACTTGAATGAGGAGCCTTACACTCCAAGACAACTAGATTTTCCCTGTTTCTATTTTTTTCTTTTTTTGCCAGTACTGGGGTTTGAACTCAAGGCCTTGCACTTGCTCCGCTGGCTTGTTTGGCTGGTGTTCTACCACTTGGGCCATACTTTCAGCCTTACTGCTCCCTGTTTCTGGTACCAACATGGCTAAAGTTTCTGCAGGCAAGCACTGAGCCTAGCTTACTTTAGTCACCACAGCTGTAGGGCAAATGTTTTGAATAACTTTGCTATATGGATGCTGGGTACGCGCACCTGAAAGCAGATGATGATGTCACCATTCACTATCCCCTGGGGACACTTTTCCTTTCCAGGTATCCATTAAGCTCATACTTTTAAAGCTACCCATATCAATGTCTTTTGCTATCTCTCACCAGTTTCTAAATGAGGAAGTCTTCAGAGTCTCATCTCTGTTGTACTTTGTACCTTCATGTAATTTAAACTAACATTTCACCCTTCATCTCTCATGTTCAGGTTCATGTTCTATTAGTCATTCCAACTTAGATGACATAACAAATCTGAAGAAAACCAATCCCTCCATAACTGAGCAAGAACTTACCACCAGTCACCTAGTTATTCAGACTAAAACCTTAACGATTTTTAGGTACACTGATCCATATCCAAAACAGAACAACACCTATCACTTCTCATCATCTATACCACAAAAATCTCCTTCACCATTTCCAACAACCTGAGCCTCCTAACTGATCTCCCTGCCGCCATTCTTGTTCCTAATGATCAGCAGCCAGAATGGGTAACCCAAAACCATAAATCAGATGGTAGTATCTCCTCACTTAAAACCTACTACTATGGATCCTATTATACTTAGACTAAAGCATCTTTGCCCTCAGTCCCCTGTGCTCTCCTCACTCTCATTACAGTCTGGGTCACTTACTTCTTCCTTCATTATGTTCATTCCCTATGCAGAGACTCTGCTCTAAGCCTTTTGTTCCCCCTTACAGTTCTCTTCCTTCAAATTTTCATGTGGTTTACCACAGATTTTCATTTTTTTTCTTCCTCATTATCCTTCAGAATTTCAACTCATCCTCCTTCAAGAGCTTTTTTACTTCTAAATAAAGTAGTCCCACCCTACCTTGGTATTACCATCATATGACTCTATTTGGTTTGCTCCATATCCACTAGTAAGTGATCTATTTCCAATTAATAGAATGGGCCACTAAAATTAAGCATTTAATAGAAGCTAAAATGTAAATCCCAAGACTAAAACGTATACAGGCAAATCTTATAAAGGGAATCTGCATGAGGCATACATTCCAGATTGATTACTATAGAAAAGTAACTTGCCTGTACTCATGATACCTCCACATAGAGTAGTGCTAATTGCATGGAAGCAGTGTAACTAAAATTAATAGCTTACCAGTATCACATACAAAAAATAACAACAGATGGTTCTTACACTTTTATAGTTAAAATTAAAAACAAAAATCATACCACTAGAAATCCTATCAAGTTGTTGAGAGCAAAATGTCTGTGAACCATATGGCCTGCCTATTAATACATCTGACCTGTTACCCAACAACTGTTTCCTAGCCTGGAAGGAATGTCTGCTGTGGGAGATAAAGGAAAACAGAAGACATGTTCAGAAGATGAGCACAAGAAGGATGCTGAAGAGAGTGAAATTAATGATCCCTAACAAGAGTTCATTAAGAAGTAATCCAAGAACAACCTCTAAGACCAACCATGAGTTGTGACCAAAGGATGACAATGCTTTGCTTTAAAAAAGAAGAAAAAGAAGAAGGATGAGGAGGAGGAGAAGGAGAAAACGGAAAAGGGTAAAATAAAAATCAGAGAAAGAAAAGAAAGAGCTTTAAATTCACTTTGTGGATATAAATGTATAGTCAGTCATTCAACTTGGTTGCAACACACAATGCCCATATCCATTAGCCCTGGGAGGGGACCACCAAGCTATGTGTAACCTCACCAACAGTAACTGGTAGAAAGAAGTATGCTTACATTAATTTTTAAAATTGCCTCCCTGAAGTATCAAACCTAGATCTGTCTTTCGGGGAAAAAAAGAACACAGACAAGAAGCTGCTTGTATCACAGCTTTGCTTGCATTTGAGAGCTGTCTACCATCCAAGACAAATGTACTTGCTTCCTAAAAGCTGGACACATTTATTTTGACTTGAAACATTTCAAAGCC